TGATAATATATCAACCTTTAGTCAAAATATCAAATGGCCTGAACGACAAGTTCAGGTAAAAATGGCTTGGCACGGAACATGATAAACTATTACAATAGACGAATATTATATCTTGGTAGAATATATTGGGCAGTTAGTATAAATGGATATTATAAACGATATAAATAACGAATATCATTTCTTCATTCAAGGAATGTTGAGATTTACTAATTATTCGATTTATATGCTATTAAATGATATAATATATTCGACAGTTTGTGTAAATGCATGTTGTTGGTACGAAATGAAGTTGATGATCATTAATTGTGTATATTACAAAAGAAATTATATTAAATAAAAGGCACATGAGGACGTATATATGTAAATCAATTTTGTTCTTTTAAATTATATAATTTTTAGAAATTTATCTGTTCACGTCGAAAAAACCATTAGATTAGTAGATATTTTAATTTCAATTTTGTAAAATCTATTGTCTGAAAAACAAAAGAAAATTCGTTTAATATCTTTTCTGTTTAGATTTGAAGAAATTGAAGTGTCTGTAATACTGCAGTGAGTATCAATTGTTAGAGGCAAATTTTATATTCAAAAATAGTCTCCTTCTTTCCAAAATTGTTCTTAGTTAGATATTTCATCATGATAAAAAGTTTGATAGTTTAATTATTTTACTAAAAAATTATAAAGCATTCCAAATGATATAATTAATTTTTTAATAACAATCTACAATACAATTTAAAAAAGGATGAATTTTTCTCCTAATTATTGTTTAAAATAATCACTCAGAAGAAGATATCACTCTTTAAAATATTACAAAATCTGTTAATACAATGATATGGAAATTTTATTTTGTCCATTTATTTTAATCAAGCAAGAGAAAGTCGTTCTAAATTTTTTTCTCGCGAATTCGATTTTTAATTATCGAGTTATTGATGGGAGGAGATATTAAAATGCCTTCCAAGATCAAAGGATTAAAATTAATATAGTGGAGCCTCTCGTATGCGAATTAATTAAAGGGTAAAAGTGTTCGATTAATAGAATTTTCGGATAATAGAACAATCAATTTTCACGTAAATTACACGTATCCAAATGAAGATAAAAAAGATGATTTATTTTGATATTTAAAAATCATAGTTAAATTACATAACTTTTTTTATATATAAGTAAGTACATCCTTTTATCTCCGTATACCTCAAATCATCCAAATCCTTTTCTTGAATATTTCAGCGCGAGAAGCATCCTCGTCATTTTCAAAATTTAATTTATTGTTTCACAAGCGTTATAAAAATAAAATCTTTTATCTCATATTTCAATGAACACTTGTTGAAACGGTGAAAAATAAAGCATGTGATAACATATATGAAATAGTTCAGTACAATATTATTAGAAGCAATATTATTTTAATATTCATTTATTAGAATATTTAAGTAATAAAGGTTCGATAAAGATACGGCAGACTCTACTGCACATCATTTCACCAAATTTTCGTTTCAAGAACAAGCCTCCGAAACGATGCCTTTATATCCCACCGAGAGACGACACAATTATCTTCGATCGTAACACCGTAAGGACTCTTTACGTATTCCGTTGAAAACGCACTTTTTGACCGGTCCCACGACGACGCTGAACGATCTAAACCGAACTGCCAACACTTACCACGAATGTGCTGCCCATTGGAAAAGTGAGACGCCTTCGTCTGGACAAGATCCTCTGCGATCTCTGGCCAGGGATGCTGATGTCGGTGTCGTTAGGGTGACACACGCGGTCCCCGAGGACCAGCTCGAGGATCCTGGCGAGGGCGAGTATCAGCCAGAGAGACCTCATTTTTTCGTATCACCGGCTGAAAATCAGCGTGTGCCACCAAGAGCGTTGAACCAACTCTCAGACCTCTCCCGGGAAGAACGGGTTGAAAAAGTTTCTCAGAAAAGTCAGCAACATCCTTCGCGGTTACGTCAACCTGCGTACGCGTCGCTCGACTGCTGCTTTGCAAACGCTGCGAACATGCCTCGCTCGGCCGTGCTTGTTTGAACATCCTGTTATCGGACCAGGCTCGTTGGCTGCTGTTACGTGAACCCGGTTTACCTTCGCTGTGTGTGTCCACCACTGTGAGTCTTTTCCAGATTCAAGCGATAACAAAATCGCGTTAAGAGAAATTCGTAGAATTTCCTCTGTCGACTTGCTCGACGAGCAAGTTCCAGCTACGTTCGAGAAAAGTTCGCAGAATTCTTCTATTGGTTCTTTTCATTTCGTATTCAGCTTCGAAACCAATACAAACATATCTGTCAGTGTTAAATTCTACAGCGAGTTGAAAATTGAAGGGTTCTGAGCAATTTATGAGATTGTATTTCGAGGTGTTTGCTTTCGAAATTTCATTTTATTAAACCATGATATAACGATGTCACGTTATTTTTAATTACAAATCGAAAGCACGCCATATTTTACTTAAACAATGATAGATTCCGCTGATATGTCTAACAAACAGTTAAGTAGAAATAGATTATTTTTAAGAAACGTCTTGCTTCCATAAAATCTGTCACTTTCTTCTAATCTAATTATCGCGATATAAAGTTAACAATTCATTGACATGTATATATTGTCAAGTACAGAGATTTTAAAAATAATAAAAATGACCATGTTCCTAAGAACTCTTCGGAGATACGAATCAAAATTTTGAGAATTTAGTCACATATTCTACATTCTAAAAGTATTTGTTAATTATTAATTAAGTTGTACAATAGTACCTTCTAAATCCGAAATTTTGTTTCTCGAATATTTAGTGTTCGAACATTATATATACCAAGATACGTCCCATCTCTCATATGTGCTCAGTTCTGAATATGAACGAAAAATGATACGTATTTAACCTGTACATTGTATTTAACATCGTACGTAAATACACAAAACTCGATTTCCTGGAATTTGATTTACGGATATAATGGAAAGAAATGTAAATACGAGCTTATCGCAAAATAACATGACAAATTGTATGAAACACACCTGTATTTAAATGGTTTATCAATATCTCATGATGGCACCTTTCCTCTGTGAAAGAACATCAATTAAACGCTTTGGAATTGATTTATATAATATTTCAATTTTTTTTCTTTTTTTTGTGATAAGTTATTCCATTCTTCTATTATTTTAGATTTTAATTCTTGAATTGTTTGAAACTATCTTCCTCCTATACAAACTTTCCTAGATAAGTCCGCACGTACATTTTCTATAATATTAGGCGATCTTACCGGCCACGTCCAAAACTTGAATATTTTTTTAAACAAAATACTCTTGCACTCATTTAATGGTATGCATTATCCTACTAAAAAAAGCCACTCTCTTCGCATGTTGTGATAGGCATGTTTATCTAATTGTTCATCAAATCGATATATTTTTGACTATTCATTCTGCTGGAAATAAAGTTTATGTCAGTTTTCCCGTATGCTCACAGCATAATTCCTCCTCCTCCCTTATGACTTCCTCTTTCCTTAAATCATGGAAGTAATCATGGCCTGTCTAAATCGAACTTTTTCTCGTCACTGAATATTATTTTCCTCCATTGTTTTTTTTCTTTTCTAATTCAACAGACAAACTCTAAGCATTTCTCTTTATGCTGCTGACGTTGAGAGTTGGTGTTTCAATGTTAGATGTTTTAAATGTTTACAATCTTCCAAAACACTTGCAATTGCTGTTCCACTCTTTTTTAAAATTAAAAGCTTCACGCACAATGGCTCATTTCTGTCGCTTTGTTGGCACACGTGAACGTCCGCTAGATTTTTTAACAGAGTATTTTTTAACAAAGCACACGTATTACCACAC